CTTTTGAATTTATAAATTTATTTTGTTTTTTAATAGCTGAATTACTTTATTTTCTTTATTTTTCCTGAATTTATATCAATTTGTTTTAATTTTATTATTTTTTTTTCTAATTTTATTTGTTTTTATTATTTTTTAAAAAAATAAATCGCCACATCACCATTTTTTACCCGCTAGTGAACAGTAACCGTTCACAATTTTTACGTGTGCAACAAGTAAGTTAGTTCGATGTTTAATATGTTATTGTTACAAGTTTCAATGTTTAAAGTGTTAACAATTGATACTCAAGGTTTAAAGTGTAAACTTTTGTCAACTTCATGATTTTTTATGCAATTTTCCCGAATTAAAAAAATAATAATAACTGTCTGAGAATTGAAAGGTAGACGTTTTGGTTTCTACAAGCATATACTTTTTTTATTGTGATTTGGTCTAGTGCCTTGAATTGACTTAGTTAAAGATGATTGTTTGCTTTTAATTATCAAGAATGCATAACGTTTTTGATTTATTGTTTCAGATTCTTTCTTTTATGGTCATCCATATGAAGAGGCAGACAATTAAATTAAATTACTCCATATGCATTCTTTTATGGTCATCCATATCAAAAAACGTTATGCATTCTTTTATGGTCATCCATATGAAGAGGCAGCTTCGACGAAGTCACCGAGAGAGATTCGTCAAGGAGATCACACCGACGGAGAGAGAGAATCGTCGAGAGGTGGAGTAAATTTGGTGGAGGCGATCAACTGAGAGAGAGCTCTGGAGAGTGATTGTATCGTCGGGGAGCGTCAAGAGAGAGAGAGAGAGAGAGAGAGAGCTTTTTTATTTGCAAAATAGAGCTTAGCTTAACATTTTACCATGGAGCTGACGCAGTTGTGTGAAACTGAAGCTTCACATCTTCAAGCTGTTGGCCAATCTTTGCTTCACATGACTTACTCTGTGTTATCTCTTTGTCTGCCTCTTCATTCAGCTTTTGCAGCTCCAAAATCTTGCGTTCGTTCTCAACCTTGTTTCTCTCTTTCTCTGCAGTCACTTTGGTGGATGACCATAAAAGAAAGAATCGTCAAGGAGATCACACCATATCAAAAAAGGTCATCCATATCAAAAACGTTATGCATTCTTTTATGGTGGATGACACCATTGCAATCGTTCTCAACCTTGTTTCTCTCTTTCTCTGCAGTCACTTTGGTGGATGACCATAAAAGAAAGAATCGTCAAGGAGATCACACCATATCAAAAAAGGTCATCCATAGCCTTTTTTTATTGTGATTTGGTCTAGTGCCTTGAATTGACTTAGTTAAAGATGATTGTTTGCTTTTAATTATCAAGAATGCATAACGTTTTTGATTTATTGTTTCAGATTCTTTCTTTTAATTATCAAGAATGCATAACTACCTTAGTAGTGAAAACTGACTTAATCTGTAAAAATAAACTCAAAACTGCCTCTGGATGAAAATAACTCATATTTAACAATTAAATTAAATTACTCCAAAAAGAAATTTATTAAGTTTTTGATCACGAGGAAAGAAAAATGATTGAAGTTTAAAACATGGTGATACCATGGTTGTAAACAAACATTTGGATCTTTAAAAGATCAAATGATATGGATGGAAATGGATTCGTGAGTCGACGCTTCAAATTAATTTTGGGAGAGGTCTACCACATCTGAATCATTTGCCATAGAAATAAAATGTTGTTGATACTGATCAAAACATTTATTTCATCAATACTTTAATGTGAGTCATGTAAAGATTGATCATGTTGGATAGAAAGAAAATGAGAATTTTCAGATCATGTGACTGAAACTGACATGTGTATTGTAGTTTTTAAAGTCAATATGGTTGAAAATAAAGTGATGATTTTGATGCCACAAATAATATCAGGTAATGATATAATATGATGTTGGAAAAATTAAAAACATATAAATTGGATTTATAAATCAACTTGAGGAAACTATGAAAGTAGTTGGATGAAAAATGTAAATTTTCATGAGTGAAATACATTTTTTCTAAATTGCCTTTTATTGCATTTAAATTTAAAAGAGTTGTAGATTAACTTTCTAAACTCTTAAGAAATGTTAAATACACATATACATGTTTTTTAAGTAATTTCAAGAAATGTGGGGGTAGCTTTGCTTACCATATAAAATCATTGGCAAATGGCCACATGAATTTTGTGATAATTATCACAATATGATTTTAAAAAAAAAACTAGTGTCAAGCAGTGAGTTTTGTGTATAATGGTTAATTGTATCTTAAAAAAATGACAAAAATCATTAGAAATTGATCTCGACTAATCTCAAGAGTCCAACCAACAAAATCAAAACCCAATTCCAAATATCTAATATGTATATTTGTTACTTTATAAAAGTTTCTCAAATCACACATATTAAATCTCCATTTCTCATTCAAATAAAACTCATTTTTGACATATGAATACACTATTCATAATGTCTAAAAAATAGTTCCAACAGTATCTTCTTCATTTGCAACGGCGATATCTGAGATGCCAAGAGACAAAAGAAAAAGGAATTAATAAGGGATGGATTCTCGTCCCCGCCTCTTTCTTGTCGTCTTTGTTGCAAAAGCTTGATGAGCAACAATGGTCGGTTTTGGCTTTATTGCACATTTCTTCCCTAGATATTTGAATATATTCATTTCTGATTTGCAAATATACTCTTTCAAATTGATTTCACAATTTTTAATTATACAGACCATTCCTTCCATAATTACACAAACGGTTAATTTTATGTGGTTTTGTGTACTTGGGTACATGATATTGTATGTATACAATGCTAGAAAACAAAATCTACCTCTACATATATACAAGTTTGTATTCAGGGTGTACATGTGTACAAATCCAAATTTAAGTTTAAAGTTCATATTAAGGTGTATATGGTTTCAAGATTAATGGGTTCTCTTCAGATTATCATATTAGGAACATAAAAAAAAATATTAAAAATTTTCAAAAACAAAGTTAGTCAAAACAGTGGAATTTTCTATAACAAAATTTGTACTAGACATTGTTCTGGGTGATAACAGTTTTGATCTTTTGTTTGTGTAATCACTGCTATTCTTTTATTTCACTATCTGTACACATGTACACCTCACATGATGTACATTACAATAGATATAAATCCTTCCTTGTATGTACACAAAGGAAAATATATTTAAGAAATACATAAACTACTGTACATGTATATCACTTGAAATGTTGGTAGTTTGATACAAATATACACCTTCAAACATAGAAAGTTTGATTGTTGTACACGTGGATAAACATGCAATCTAGTACACATGTACACACACACACCTCTTTGTCTACACTACCACATAGTGCACCTCTCTTGCTATCACTTTTCATTATATGTACACAAATCAAAATCAGTACGAAGAGTATCACTTACAAACAAAAGTAATTCTTAATTTCATATTGCGTACTAATTTGCATAAAGAGGGGGGTTAAATTTCTCATTTGGAATTTTGGGGTAAATTGGAAAGTAACTGTACAAAACTGGAATCTTCAAGGCTTGAATTATAAACATTCTAAAGATGAAGGACCAGTCGTGCAAATAATTGATTTTAGAATAAGATAAAGGACCAGTCGAGCAAATAATTGATTTGGGAATAAACCCCTTCGAGGTTTGACAGATCAGATTTCCCCCCGGTGTGGTTTGCTGGCGTACTGTCACGGAGTAGTAGGTCATAGAGCTGATTAAGTCGGGGTAAATAGGAGACTTATGGTGGTGAATAGTTATTCGGTGGTGGATCACTTCAGAATGAGCCGGTGATGACGAGGAGTTTCAGACGCTCATTGAGAAAGGAAAGACGAAAGTTTACGAGTCACATGTTTTCACTTGTTTTCTTATCAATTTGTTTCTCAATTTGTTTCTTATAAACATGAACCAAAGATGAAATAATTGGAAAAGATGTGAGGGCCCATCCATGCAATTATAAGGAAGGTCTTGAATGCACATTTATACGTTGGGGGTTAATTCCTGAAAACTTATATGCAATTTTAAAAATTTGGGGTTAAACTTAAAAATCTAAATAAATTGGAGGACCAAATGAAAAAACAAAGATCATTCACCATTGTTGTCTGAGTTTCCCTCTGTGACATGAAATTTGAATCGACGACAACTCCCAACGTCCACCACGGTTGATTCGTGTTGAAGAAGAAGGAAACATGATTTCATATATGTGGCGATGATTGCTGTGATGCTATTGCGGTCAAAAGAAGGTTTAATTCAGATCTAGGGTTCAAGTTAATGGTGGTTCAAGTTAATGGGAAAGGAGATGAAATCAGTGTGCAGAGCTTTTGTTGTTGCCACTTCTGACACAATCCGAAACGCATCCGTTATTTTTGCAGTTGTTTCCTTCACCGTTATTTCCTTCTCAATTGTTTCCATTAAAAAACTTACTCATTATTGGTCTGGTTACAAAATAGTGGTGAAAAAGATGGAATAAGTGATGGGTCATACTAATTATATTTTAGTTACGTTTTAGTTAGAAAAAAAATATAATAAATCAAAAATTATTTTAGGAATTATGTAACAAAAACTCAAAATGTGATCTTGAATGTATATGTGGAAAAAGAAAATGTTTTTCCTTTACCTTTTATAAAATTAATATTTAATGTACACTTTTCAGTTTGACTCATAGCCTCAGTTTCAAGAAGCACACAGCCATAAGTCATAACTTTGAAATATGCATCACGCTTGAAATTTTAAGAAACTCTATAAAATGAAGAAAAAACAAAGTTCAAGAAACACATATCATATCTGTCTTGCAAAACTCTCCACTTCTCCTAGAAACATTGGTCTTATACATATGCATCACTTTCTGTTCCAATAATCGTTTCCACATGAACACATTTCTTGTTATCTAAGCAACTTCTTTCTTCTTCTCTCTCTCTCTCTCAGAATTTCTATAAATCTCTCTTATTTTCTTTTGGTTTATTTATTTCATCATCCCAATAGTACTAAATTATCACTACGGTATGGTTCTAGTTATGGATGATGAGAAGAGCAACAACGTAGAAAGATTCGACGACTTCGTCTTGCCAGGGTTTAGGTTTCATCCCACAGATGAAGAACTCGTAAGTTTCTACCTCGAACGGAAGGTTCTACACAGATCTCTTCCCTTCGAACTCATCAAGAAAGTCGACATTTACAAATACGATCCATGGGACCTACCAAGTAAGCCGCACTGAAACTCTCATTTCTAATTTTTATCCGAACTTATGGAAACCAAAGCCTTGAATGCATTTTCTTGAATCAATGTTTAAAAAGAGCTTGCGGCCATGGGGGAGAAAGAGTGGTACTTTTACTGTCGAAGAGACAGGAAATATCGGAACAGCACGAGGCCAAACCGAGTAACCGGAGGTGGATTCTGGAAAGCAACCGGAACTGACCGGCCCATATACTCATTGGACTCGACTCGATGCATTGGTTTGAAGAAGTCGCTTGTGTTTTATCGTGGTCGAGCTGCTAAAGGAATCAAAACCGATTGGATGATGCATGAGTTTCGTCTCCCATCCCTCTCTGACTCTCATCACTCATCGTCGTATCCCAGTTACAGTAACAAGAAGAACCATAACATCAGCGATAAAGAGATACCTTCCGGCGTAAATAACCGCACTTTCTCTAACTTCTTTACACGCAAGAGAAATAACCTTTTGTTATGGGTGTTCAAACTTCAAATCATGGTTTATGTTTGTGTTTTTTTTTGTAGGATGCTTGGGCTATTTGCAGAATATTTAAGAAGACGAACTCAACATCATCACAAAGATCAGTCCCACAATCATGGCTTTATCCAGCGATTCCTGACACTAACCACTACAACTCACAGTCGCAAAGCGCAACTCTTTTTGCTTCAACAGACGTTTTCAGAAACATAGCAACAAGACAAAACCTTATTTCTTCTCCAGTAGACGAACCCGCAAGCTTCACAGAATCGGCTGCTGCTTATTTTGCATCTCAGATGCTCGGAGTTCCTTACAACATAGCTAGAAACAGCGGAACCGGGGATGCTCTGTTTCTGAGAGACAACGAGAATACCTACTCTCGTAATTTGGCTGGAGGGCTGCCTAATGAGCTTCTGAATGTAAGATCAATGGTAGAGTCTGGTTTCGAGACGACGACCGTTAGTGAGATGTCGGCGACGACGTATCCCCCTAACAACTAAAGTCTTACGAATCACGATTTACTACTGAACACTTGAATTAGTGTAGGACAGCGCTAATATGTTTTAGTTTTTAATTATCTAGCTTTGCTTTTGGTTTCTTGGAGACCAAAAAGAAAGAAAAAAACAACTTGCTTTGCTTTATTTGTAGCCATCGGCGTTTTGAAGTAACCTAATCTTGAACAATGTAACTTTGCTTTCCTTTCATTATTTTTTTAAGAACTTTTGTTTAAGATTATGCATGCTATGATCAATGAATCTGTTATCTTTATTACACATAAGTCAAGAACTCAAGATGGCAGAGCTGCTCTGTGGACATCTCCAATGACAACTATTAAGTTTTGAATGGAAGTACTAATTTTTTTTGGTTAAAGCACTGAACAGAAGTTTTAAACTTGAAGATATAAAGTATAAAAATACAAAGTTTTAAGGATTAATGTAGTATATCGACTGTGAATAAATTTTTTTTTTGTTAATGCATTGAACATAAGTTTTAAACATAACAAAAGGTTGTCTACATTAACATAAACTTTTATTTTTAAAATACAACTAAATCTTGATCCGTGCAACCGCGCTGATTTTTTTTTATTTTTTATATTTCACGATTATAATTGTTCATATGTTACAATTTAGGGGTGTGCATTTCAGTTTAACTACGGGTTTGGTTTAGATTTGGTTCGGTGTGGTTTATTTAGGTGTAAGACAAATTTAACTAAAGTCAACCCAAATTAGTTTTGTTTGTTTTGTGTTCATTTCTGTTTGGTTTTAGCTCTGTGCAATTTTAATTTGGTTTGTGTTCGATTCGGTTTAATTTGGTTTTATTTGTGTTTGTTCTGTTTGATCGAGATGTTTTTTTAGATTTGTTAATTTATAAAAACATAAGAAAATAATCATTTGATACCAAATTCATTATTTTCATATTTAAATATAAAGCCAAACATCACAATAAAAAATAAAAGATGTAATCCAATAATAACATAACATTGATATCATATGTAATTTTTTCGAAATGTCATAGGTAACTTTCAGTGTGATGTTAATATATGGAATTCATTTTATTTTATTTTTAGTTGTGTTAATATATTCATTTAGACATAAAATGTATGATATTATCTTATGTTGTTTTGGTTAAATAATCAAATATACTAAATTTTTAAGATTATACTATAATTAATTAATATAATTAAAAACACTTTGATTTTTTGGTTTGGTATTGACCAATTTGGGTTGTTAAAATTTTGAACTAAATGGTTTAGACATATTTTGGTTTGGTTTGCGTTCGAATGTATCGGTTTTTTGTTTGGTTTGGTTTAATTTTTTACCCATTGTTTTAATAATTAGACTAATTAAAAATGAAACATCATAAAATATAAGATACTATTGGGATATATTTAAACATATTGTAAATATCGACTGAAAAGATTTTTGAAATCTGTACTTTTATTTGCGTAGTGTTCGTTTACATCTGAACTCTAACGTTAAAATTTAAAATGGTTAATATTATTTATACCTTTAATGAATAAAATATATAATTAGGTAGAAATAAAAATGAATTAAATTTATTTGATTAGTTAAGTACTTATCAGAATTATCCAAAATTTAAAATATCTATTTTAAAATAAAAAGATAATTTAATATATATATATATATTGTTGTTATCAGAAAAAATATTTTAATAAAAATTGAAAATTTGAAAACAGAAAACATAACACTAAATATTAATTCTCAATTTTATATTTGAAAAGATAATACTCTCCTTGTTTCAAAAAGATCAATTTTCTAGCAAAAAGATATATTATTTACATGTTCAATGTATTAATTAATGATAAATTGAAAATTTCAAAAATGTTAGTTTTGTTTATTAAAATTTTATTGATTAAAAGGATAAGGAATTGTTAGGTACAATGAGGCATTAGTAATCAAATTATATATACTTTTTAACATGTGTGAAAAAAATTAAACTTTATAATATTTTTGAAGATGGAGCCTTCTCTAGATAGTTTGAACTTCGTGGATAACTCCAAAACAAACTCAGCAGGCATAATCAAGAATGTAAAGGTGGAGATAGGGATTGCACTATCCATGTGGACTTTCATGCTGTAGATATCAAATCATGCGAGACACCTCCACTTCTTTTTGGAAGAGCCTTCATGGCTACAATGGGAGCAATATTTGATCTCTAGAAGAATAAGATGTGTCTGACAAATGTTGATGACACTGTTTTCTATGATCCCGTGGAGAAGAAGAAAAGTGAGGAGTTTATTTCCTGCATAGATGTGTTTGAAGATCTAGCACTTACAACCAATACATATCGCAAGCCTGCACAACTAGCATTTGCATCAATCGACATTCGGTCTTTAGAATCAATTGACACATCATCTTCAATATCTATCATCAGGAAGTCTTCAACAAAGATCGAAAACAGGCTCACAAAATCGATCGATACCACCATCACAACATCGACCGACCGAAACCCCTAATTCCACTTGACACCTATTCCTGGAAGTTCGAGTTGTCCTCCGGATATTGAAGACTCGACACAGGAGAGCACAGATGAATCAAGATGTGATCTTACCTCAGATGTAGACAAAGAATTCTTGGAGTTAGAGGAGGAATAAAAGCTCGAATATGTGGATTATGGTAGGGAAGTCACTCTAGGAGACTTTTTGGAGTTGGAAAAATGGCTTGAGCGGAAACTTGATAATGAATGGAATACTGTGAGAAAAGAAATGGAGACTTCGTCAAAGGTTTGCATCGATCGACACCAACCTAATGGAACCGATAGATACTCGCCCAAAGTCATCGATCGACAGCCTCTTGATTGCATCGGTCGACACCCATGGTCGGATGATCTGCCAAGATACACAGCTAAGATGGGACCAATTGAGGATATAGTGTATAAGTCTGAGGCATCACACCTTGTTGTCTCCGAACATCTGAGGCGACCTATCAGTGGAGAAGAAGCTGCTGAGATTTACAAAAGAGTGGAAAGGATACAAAATCCTATGAAGTTTGTAGTACCATGCTTTGTATTTGAAGCTGAATCTCCTATTCCACCATATAGAAGTGTGCAACCAGATTCCTACATTAGGGTATTGGATGATCATCAGTATGTAGAAGCTTCCTAGAGAGGATTGAGATGTAGAGGTGAAGTCGACAAAGGTTCAACAGAAGCAACATCGATCGACATAGACCAGATACCATCGATCGACAGCGTCCCGATGACATCGATCGGCACCGATCAGATAACACCTATCGACACAACCAGTTCAGTTTTGATCGACATCCTTCGGGTATCTCATCACGTAGAGACAAAAACAGACAAGTCTAGGGGAAAGAAGATGAAGAATTGGAAGCAGAGGAAAAGGGTCAAGGGAGATCCTCAGTTTTCATTGACTCCTCACTTTTCAGATGGTATCAGAAAATTCAGAGTGCGCAGCAAACGCTTCTCACAGCCTTTTTCAAAGCTTAAAGCACTACTTATTGCTGAGGTGATAGACAAAGGAGAAGAGTCTATGGAGGAAACCTTCACACAAGAGTGATAAAGCTTCAAAGAGTGGACATTGAGATTTTTTTTGGAGCATGTTCTCATCCTCATCCGGACTGAATCAGATTTCCAGAAGTCAAGCTATTGAATTTAAATAAGCGCTGAGCAGGAGACAACCCACTGTTAGACCTGAGGACGACGACTTCTGCAAAAAGCATCGATCGACGGCTGGCCAGCGTATCGATCAACATAGGATCACTAGTATCGATCGATCGCCACTAAACTGTGTCGATTGACGCTCACCATCAACGAGCAGGTATACCATTTTTCCTTGTTAAGTTTAATACTTATGATTTATTTTCCCCCACCAATATTAGTATATATAACGCTGGTAACAGTGTTGTTTAAGTCTGGGGGAGGTTTTACTAACTTTTTGTTTTATTTTTAATGTTATTTCTATTTAAAAATAAAAAGAGATCCAAGGAGAAACAGATTATTGTCTTATCGACCGACGAGACCAAGTCGATATCAATCGACACAATGTCACCTGCGACGATCGATGCATTATTTATACATCGATCGATATTCATTCCGGTCAGGTTTATCGTTCTTCCTTGTTAAATTGAGTACTTATGTTTTATTTTTTCACCATAACTCCGACTATTTTACACTGGGGACAGTGTAGTTTCAGTCTCGGGGGATGTTTACTGATATTTGTTTATTGTGAGTCTTATTAAAACTGTTTTCAAAAACTATTTTATTGAGCTTAAGGAAGGGATGATGATCTTATTTTATTTATACTTCTCATCTAACCACTTTTTAGCACCATTCTAGATCTAATGATTACAAATAGTACTAAAATGCTATTGTGGATCAATCAATCAACTATGCACACTTTCTTGGATTGTTAGAAGGAACCAAATCTGACCTACAACACTAAACCTGACACAACTACTTGTCTTGGGGCTTGGTATACATGGAATCTGATTCTTAAAACAAGTCTGAAAGGTAAAACCTTATGTATATTTATCACTTTTTCTTTCTCTATTTTCGACCTTGGATATTCAGGTAGAGGTATTTAAAATTATAGAAAAAATGTCTACTTATAGGTTTTAGTTAGGTGGAATCTGAACAGGACTTGGTGGCTACAACCATTCAGGCTCACTTCATATGAATTCTTCGATATATGTCAAAAAGAAGTGATCAGGACTTGGTGGCAAGCACCTAAGGCTTGTTTCATGGAAGCCTGTCCAATCTTGGTAAATAATCATGCCTTAGAAGGAGATTCTGTCTAAAGAGAAAAAAATAGAAAAGAAAAGATAGGAATTAAGTTTTACCTGCATATCCAGATACTTGTTTGAGATTTCCTTGCATCCTATGATCGACACTCCCAAGGTAAAGCCTGCACTTTTATTTATGTTAAGAAATGAGGTTAGTTGGGGGAAATGTCAGATAGTATTTTCTAAGTTGCTGGCTAGATGAATTTGGTTGCTAAACTAGGATATGACATAATGAGCTTCTGTGATTAGAACTTCCTAGATGTGGATTGCAAAATTGTATAGGTGATGATTTCAAAGTTTTAATCTGTGAGTCTATGCTATTTTCAAACCTCTTTCAGAGAGACTGCCTATTGTTTTGCTTGAACACAAGCAAAAAGGTAAGTCTGAGGGAGTTGATATACCATGATTTTGACCCATTTTTTTGTCATGGTAT